ACCTTACCCCTGCGCTACTCGCTGCAGGAACCTAGGGAATACTTTTGGTAATGATATAGGCCAATTTAGGCATCTATGTTATGGGGTTCGTGTTTGGCCTTCTGGTCGGGTTGGGGCTGCGCTGTTCAGCATGTGAAAGAGGGATCGGTTTGAATCCTGAAGGTGGCCAAGGTGTGACAAGACTACCTAAAGTCTCCATTGTAGTTCCTTTCTTGTGGTTTAACCAATTGTATAATAATAAGTTAGGATCCTACTCCATTGTAGTTCCCTTTTTGGTTTAGCCAATTGTACAATTAGCTAGGATCCTATAAGGTAACCCCAGAAAGGACCTACAATGGATACTATTGGCACTGCAACTCGTGCTGCTCTTCATGGCAAGAAGTAGTCAGATACGAGCTAATGTAGGAACCTGATTCAGAAGCCCTAGTCCTAAAACCCCAAAATACTAGGATTCATCTGCAGAGCCCTCACAATAAAGACCGAGGCTCCTATATTAGCTCACGGTGTTTTGCTTTTGTTGGAGGCCTTTGGTCTGATGGCGGGTTGGTGGTCGCTTTGGGTTAAGGCTAAGACCCCACCATCTGCTTGTGATGTTTATTCCGGAACCCTTAGGAGCTTTAACGATTAGACTAAATTGGGTCTTGGGACATGTTATACCGTGTGGTATAGGATATTCGCATCCTGAGACTAAGGTGATGACATTGTCATGACTAAATGCATCCGTCAGAAAATCAGAAAATGTGCTCTTGCGGCTTACTGTCTGTGATCGTTTAAACCCTAAACCCTAAACCCAACCCTAAACTTTCTGGCACCTCGAAGGCTTGATGCGGATGCGTCGCGCTCTCGAGTCCCTCTCGCTGCTTTTGCGGTGCGTCCGGGGACCTGGGCCGATCTTTGGGGGCTATAGGACTGTAGGAGGGTTTAGGGTTTAGTACGAGTTTTGGGGGTTAGGGCTTTTAGGGTTTATAGGGCTTTGGAAAGAGGCCTGGATGCTAAAAAGAGTGTTATAGGGTTCAGAGTTGTAGGGTGTAGGGTTGTGGATTATAGGGATGGTCTAAACTTTAAACCCTACTGTAAACCTCTAGGGATTATAGTTATAGGGCAACCCAGTTTTGGGGGGACTCGAGGGTTAAGGTATAGGGTTTGGGGTTTTAAGGGTTCATGGTTTAGGCTTTGTCTATAGGGTTCAGGGTTTAGGGAGGTTTCTGGAAGGTCGGAATAAGGTTTGGGTTCAAGGTATAGGGACGAGGCATTGTTGTGGAGGTTTCTTAGAGAGGTTGAGCAGGGTTTTGGGTGACTTCTTCTGGGGTCTATTTGCGGTTTATGTGAGTTTACATTGGTTTCAAGGGGATTTCGAAGGGCTTATGCTTGATTAGGGGTGTTGCCTGGGCCCACCGGACGCCAGAGTTGGGTACCGGGGTTAGGATCGTAGTAGTGCAGGCTGGTAGTTGGCGTAGGAACCTGATTAAGAAACCTTGGTCCTATAGTACCCAAATAGTAGGCTACACATTCAGAACCCGGAGCAAGACCCAGATCAGGTTCCCATATGGGGGTTTCCGAAAATAGGGGACCCTTTATAGTACCCTAAATAGTAGGGTCCTTATTATAAGGACCCCGAAAATAGGGTACCCTAATTTTCGGAAACTCCCATATTATGACGTACCTGGACAGCCTTTGGGTTGGGGGCTCTGGGATGTTGGCTCTTGGGCTCCTGCAGGTTCTGGTGAATGGGCTAGGGTTTAGGGTTTAGGGTTTAGGGTTTAGGGGTCGGGGTGGGTATACAGGTTTCGAAGGGCGCCAAAGTCTAAGTGATTCATAGGGTAGCTGTTTTGCGGGAGTTTCTTGCCACAGGAATCTAGGGCTGATGATGGGGAACCGAGTTGGGATTTCGGGTGAGGATTTATGCTGCAGATGTTGGCAGGTATGGTCTAGGGTTGCGGGTATATGATGGGGTGTCGAGAGGCTTGAGGTTTATGTTCCCCAGGGTTTGGGGGAACAAGGTTTGTAGTGAACGTTGTCAGGAGCAGGGCACCAGTCCCAAACCAAAAACCAAACAGCACCCCAAACCCTAAATCCCAAAGCCTAAACCCTAAACCCCAAAGCCCAAAAAGGCACCAGACTTGGGATTTGGCTTCCAGTGGGCTGTGCCGCTTTCTTAGTAACTTGGGGAGATCCTAAAACAGTAGCCCTAAACCCTTGCACCCCTAAGCCCTAAACCCGGAACCCT